CATACGTCAAGACGGTAGTCCAGCTCCTGCCAAACACGTTGTAGCATGTCTTGCGTAGCATTTGCCAGCGCCTCAGTAATTCCCTGCTTAAGTTCCTCTAGCCTTGTAGGAAGAGATGGGGATTATAGACCTGTTCTTTCACATAGCCGCATACAAAAAATCTGAAGATATCAAATCAGGTGAACGTGGCGGCCATTTCAACAGTACATTGTCATTATCACTGGCACGCCCGTCTATCTTTCTCATTGAAATAAGCCAGCACACTCAACTTAGTTTTTACACATTTATTTTTAAATTTGAGATCTTGATCGAGAATTGGCGATATTATTAAACTACAAACTGATGTTACTTTGTTTGGGGTGACTTTGTATTTTGGAATCATATTATTGGCAGTAAAATTCTAATTTCCTTCAAAGTTGATATACAAGGGAAGATATACTCGGAAAATTATTCCAAATTCTTGAACGGGACGTTTTGACTCAGATCTTGAACAGGTCTTTCCCCATCCCTGACAAAAATGCGTAATTGTGAAAATATGGGAAAATAATATTTTTACATTACTCTGATCTATCCAACGGGGTTGTTTTAATTTTTCTCGAATCACATTTTTTTTATCATTTTACCCCCAATCAAGGCGATAATGCCACTAAGACGCAGGAGGCGACTGGGAGGGGAAGAGAATGAGAAATCTTTAATCAGGAGAAACGGCAATAAAAGAACAGGTTTCAATAAGACAGACGATGGCGATTGACATTGCATTTAAATATTTTGAAGATCGTAAGTGGCAAGAAACCAAAAGTGTTTCACATAAGAGAAATGCGAGAGAAGAAATTATTAGAATAGAACTTGCGGTTGCATCTAGCTATTTCAGTATTAAAAGGTTGCCAATGAAGTACAGCGCTTAAATTCATACATTCAAGGCAACAAGGAGGAAAAGTCGTCAAAACAATTGCCATGAAAATATTTGTAGAAAAGACAGAGGGAAGCCATGTCATGATGATGGGAAAGTGATTAAAGTAGAGATGCCGGGTCACAATTGATGACAGTACAGATCATTCTTTGCAATGAGCGGGGTATTTGACTGGATACGGAAATTCGGGTTTTCAGAGCTGTTGTACTTGCCATTCTTTTGTATGGCTCAGAGTCGTGGACTCCATACAGGTACCATATACGCCTGCTAGATGTTTTCCATAAAAGCTGTCTGCGTGCAATCTGTGGAATTAATCTTCAAAATAGGACATCTAACGTAGACCTGTTTAACAGGTGTAATATTGGAGGAATCGAGACTTTTATCATACAGTCTCAGTTACGGTGGATTGGTCATGTCTTGAGACTTTCTGATGACAGGATACCCAAGATCCTAATGTACAGCCAGCTAGATCAGAGCTACAGGAATGTAGGACGCCCATGGCTAAGATACAAAGACAAGCTGAAAAGCAACTTGTCAGCAATCAATATACCACATAACATCCTTGGAGCGCGTAGCCTCTTTTTGGGTAGAATGGAGATCAAGGTGTTTTAGTGGACTCAGCAATTTTCAATCTGCTTGTCTGAATCATCTTCAAGAAGTGAGAGCAAGATCTAAAAGGTCAGCCAATCTAACAGTGATCTCATCTCAAAATCCTCACACTTGCTCCATATGTGGCCTACTTTGTAAATCACTAGGGGTCTTAAATGCCACTTAAGATTATCGCACAAAATTTCATAACTGAATCAATAAGCTGTCAGATCCTCATACGTCGAAATCCGACGGGAGAGTCCATTGTTATATATATATATATATATATATATATATATATATATATATATATAGATAGATAGATAGATAGATAGATAGATATAGATAACTAGACTCGTTTCGAAAAACCTTCGAATTTTTGATTTGCTAGTCAAATCAATCTCGAGGAAAAAAAGGTTTTAAAAAAGAAAGAGCTACAAACATGAAATTCTGCCGACAAAAAATCGCACAGATGCAGGTCTGAAGCCCAAAGAAAAAACCCCGATACGAGTAACAACTAACTAACAAAGAGCTCAATACAACCAAAACTTTCCCTGACGATCCGTTTAGGTGAAACCTAGGTAGGTTTGTCTGGCTCACTAGGTATATATATATATATATATATATATATATATATATATATATATATATATATATATATATATACCCTCGGGCAAATTAATTGAAACAACCGCATTAGTTTCCCTTCTTTCATCATACGGTCAGTCTTAGACCTACTGGAGTGACAGTGTGTAATAGATTTCTATTTTTTCCTCAGATTAGGTCATTTGCAGTGGTGTGCAGTAATTTGAATCTATTTTCGGGATGTACGATAAAATTTGTTTGGCCTTGAAAAATATTGTGTCATCTGTGATTGCATCAGATTTCCATCACGCCCAGGCAGTATTGTCTCGACTGTCGATTAGTTGTCCTACGGCTATCGACGTTACTATACGGAGCGTACGAAAATTGTAACACTCCACGAACACACTGACAAGCTTTACCAGTGAGCAAATCAAAGTACTGTAGATTAGCCCGGATTAACTCTCCTGATTTAAATTACTCGTTTTGCTTCAATTAATTTGCATAATGGTGTATATGTTGTCAAGTTTTTCATCGACCGTCTTTTGCATTCCTTAAGTCTTTAGGTGTTTGATTCCATAACATTTTATATAAAATCGTTAACAGTAATTTTTTTTCTTTTTTCTTCATAAATCCTACCTATGATATCTCATATTATAAAAGCACCAAAGAGGTTCTAAAAAATAAAGGTGGAAATACAAAGTAGTAACATGAACACTGGGTCATGTTTCATTGGGAAAATACGAAGAAAAGTTAATAATAACGGAATTATTTGTTTTGTTTCAATTAATTTTCACAAGGATGTATAAGGAAACGGTTAATATAAGCACTTCAGTTATTATTCGTGTGTATGAATATCATTTGAGTTTTGTGTACATGGATTATATGGTGATAATTTGATTAATTCTTCTTCGTTTTGTGCTGATTTCATCTCATTTCTCTCTTACAAAAAAAGTATTTCTCCTGTTCAGTGTTACCGTGTTCTACCAACTTCTTTTCATCTTAAACCCTTTTTCATATCATCCTTATCCAAAATATGCTCACTTTCGTTTTCAAATATCTTGTATTTCTTTATCGTTTTGCTTTGTCCTGCTTCGAATTTCAACCAACTTTATTTTGACTGTTGGCCTTTTCCAGCCTTCCTGGAAATATTCTTCGACTCTTGCCATTTCTTTCTTTTTTATTTTGTTTTCTTTTGTTTTTGATTTTTTTTTTTATCTCCAACTTCGTGGAATGGAAATACGAAGTACAAAAATGTGCGCTGTGTCATGTTTCATTGGTAAAATACAAAAAAATGTAAATAATAACGGAATTATTACTTTTGTTTCAATTAATTTCGACAAGAGTATAAATGATCATGGCCCTCCACATCTTCTTGTATAATTAATTTGCACAAGGGTGTAGCAGGAGCACCAGACCAGATATGGCAGCAATATTCAATGCACGGACGAATGGTAGATTTATAAATATGCAAGATGGTTTTTAGTTGAGTAAGAAAATTATTGTGTATTCACTATTATATCGGAGATTTGATAATGCTTTGTGAATCAACACTCTTTTTTTTTTTTGTTGTTTAAATAATATTTTCTAATATCTTAATTCTTTGCTCAGTTTCAAAAGACATTTTTCACAGTAGATTAGCGATAATAAATTACATTCAGATTCGTTTCGTTTCAGTTTCATTAAAACAATGAGTCTGCGTATTTCAAGTAAACAGTTCTTTCGAGACAACAATTAACTCCCAGAGTGGAGAGTTACAATGGCAACTGAACTACAGATTAATCAATAAATTCTTCGAGACGTGAGGAGGAAAACAGAATTTTTACTTCACTGTTGAACCAATCAAAACCTAAAAGAAAGAATAAAATCAAGTCGACTAAACATTTCCAATTGGATATTTTCCGTCTATTCTTCCTGCCTGCTATCCCGGTCAGAAATCCTCACTCAGCGACTAACAGTACTGAAATGCCATTTTCAATATTTCCAGATCAATAACCAGACAGCCATCAAGAGGGATCGATATCTTTTGATGACTGGAAGCAAATTGATTGTGATTAATTCGCATTACATCTGCCGTCCGCAGGGTCAGCCATTTCCAAGATAGACGTGACTTGCTGGAAAGGCAACAACAGGCGGCGGTCTGGGGCTGAATAGTCAGATTTTACGAACGTAGAACAATTTCACCAGACGGCAGAATAAGACATCATAATCTATATTTAGAATTTTTAGTCTGGTACAAGGACAGAAAATAAGAGCGATATAAAATTCAGATTAACAAACAAAATGTACACGATTTATATTCGGACAGTTGTCCGCATGTTTGTTGTTGTTATCATAACATTTTGATCGTTGTGTCCTCCGGCCTTCAACAGGTGGAATCTACAGGAAATACGGAAATAAACACTTTATTTAATCTACCGGGATAAACTGTTCTCGTTGCGCTGCTCATATCTATGGATACCTCGTCTAGTTCTTATTTAGTACAGTTTGGTTATTGCTCACCCGTTTTCACTGAGTGTAAGTACACAGTGCCCGACCCAGGATTTGAACTCAGAACCACTATGTCACAAAATTCTCAAACCAACGCTTTTATCTACTAAAAATCAAATATCTCCCACCATTCTTAAGCGCGTGAAAGAGGTACAGCCTTAACATTGGAATCCCCAGCACCATGTTCGCTTTGTATCATGCGGTTTTGATTTGAAGTCAAGAGAACTATCAGTGTCGTAACCTAGCGAGAAAGTGAGCATATGGTAAAGAAGAACAGATACTACACACTGATCTATTCCTGGAGGCCAGTACAGAGTGAAAAAAAAAGAAGTCTATTCATACCTTTCCAGAGGGCATAGTGTGAAGTAATCTGGTGTGTAATTGAATGGAAAAATGGAAAAATGTGTAAGGAGAAAGAGTGAAGAAATATTTAGAAAGAAAGAAAAAAAAACAAAGAAAGAACGAAAGAAATGAAACAGAAATGGGAAAGAAAGAAAGAAAGAAAGAAAGAAAGAAAGAAATATGGAGGGAGATAGATTGAAGAAATATTTAAGGAAGAAAGAAAGAAAGAAAGAAAGACTAAATGTGAAGAGAGAACGATTGAAGAAAGAAAGAAAAAAAGAAAGAAAGAAAGAAAGCAAACATGTGAAAGGAGAAAGAGTGAGGAAATATTTAGAAAGTAAAAATAAAGACAGAAAGAAAGAAATAAAGAAAGGAGGAAGAAAGAAAGCAGAAATACGAAGGGAAAAAGAGTGAAGAAATATTTAGAAAGAAAGAAAGAAAGAAAGAAAGAAAGAAAGAAAGAAAGAAGCAGAAATGTTAAAGGAGAAAGAGTAAAGAAAGAAAGAAAGCAAGAAAGAAAGAAAGAAAGAAAGAAAGAAATATAACAAAGAAAATTGTGAAAGAAAGAAAGAAAGAAAGAAAGAAAGAAAGAACGAAAGAAAGAAAGAAAGCAGACATGTGAAGAGAGAAAGAATGAGGAAATATTTAGAAAGAAAGAAATAAAAAAAAGAAAGAAAGAAAAAAAAAGAAAGAAAGAAAAAAAAGAAAGAAAGAAAAACTGTGTTAAAAAATTCCGAAAAGATATGCAATGAGAGTTACATTAATAATGAAAAAAAGAATTTTGTGAGGTTTGTAGGTCAAGAGTGTATCTGTACCGGCAAAAGTCCCCAATAAGAATATTGTGTTCCCGCCAAATGTGCATTGCATGTTTAACACATACCCGTGAGCCTTCAAAGAGGCGGAATGACATGCAAGCGAAATTCATGACCTTAAAGAAGGAAAGTCCAGCGAAAAAATAAGCCTCACTTCGTCTCCATCAAAGATAATCTCTATTTGATTGGCGCTCTCAAAAGAGTTTCTATAGCGACAACGAGAGGAATGGTCGCGAATTATACAAGGGATGTTATGTCTAAAAATCGGAAAGTGTGTGCGTGAATATATGCCTGAATGTGCGCATGTTTAATGCGCAAACACAGACATAGAAGCACTCACACGAAAATACACACACACATATATATATATATATATAACGCCATCCACAGACAGACTGTTTCGCAGCTCATCAGTGTGGCTAGACATCCAGTTGCTTCTAGCTAGGATCGAAACCCGTCTGGAATTGGTGTCATTCGGAGATTCTAACCATTAAGCCGTCGGCGCACTGTAGGGATGAAAATGAATTTTTTAGCGTATTCATTTTTAGAAACACGCCCAGTGACCGACAGTGACTCAATTCGCATCTGCGAAGAGTCTCGCTATATAGCTATAATAGTCACTGTTTACCAACCCACACCTCGTCCCCAAAGCAACCGGATGTCTAGCCACACTGATGAGCTGTGAAACAACGAAACATTCTGTCTGTGGATGACGTTATATTGGCTCCTGAAATATCAATTTCAGTTGAGCTCTCTGGGGATTTCATGTTCAAGTCTTTTTTTCACCGCTCTCTGGACTGTCATAGCTGAAACTACACTTTTATGTGTCAAACGTCTTATGAATTGAGTTGGATCTTTTCTAATTGATCTCTTTAGCCCTAAGTTGACATGATGATCCCTCTTCTCGTTGTGACCCCCTAATCCAGTTTTCCTCTACAGTTCCCTCTTTTTTTTTAAAACTCATTCACTGTTCTCTTGATGGTTCTTGAATAAACTTTCAAGATGAAAGCTAGGGTATGAATGTTGGTACTATTACTGAAGTCATGGATGATCTTTTTCCTCTCATTGTTGCTCATTTGAGAAGACATAGCTGGGCTGGCACAAAACAATTTTCAAGTGTCAAGATGGCTAAACGTCTTACCTGAAAACCTGGAAAAAAGAAACTCATTTAATTTTGTGGTTTTAAAATATTAAACATTTTCTGGGATAAACAATTATGCTGTTACACGATTTAGGCAATTTTGCAGTTACACTCGGTACATATATATATATATATATATATATATATATATATATATATATATATATATAAAGAATAAAAAGAAAGAAAAACAGTAAGCTATATAATCCGGTGTTCTTATAAATATTTTTATTTTTACAAAAATAGTGCTCAATGTAAATTTACACAGCATTAAAGAATTTTTGCCGTTAACAATAATTTTTTTTAAAATCCAGACGACATGCATTTAACGGATATCAGAATTCGTTGAAAAATACATCCCCTACCCCTACCAAAACGTAACTAATAACTGATACATAAAAATACAGCGATAATGAACACCCAAACACCCCTTGTCTGGATGAATAGATTTCTCTGTATCCTTGGAAACGTGAATTATGATTTTTTGCTGTGCCTTTATTGCCTATGTTATTAATGGCGAAATCACTTCGCTAATAAAAATTAATGAGACATTAACTTACTATCAATTCCTTGAATAATAGCATCCTTATATTCGAGTTGTTGTCAGATGGAAGACACATGCTAAGTACTTTCAACAATTTCAAATTGTCATCATCAGGGTGCAATTTTTTCATGCATAGGCAAAAACTAAAACGAAATATGTGTAGACCGAAAGATGTTGTGTTTTTTAAATTATGCTATTGACAGTTGAATATATGTTTTGGAGCATAATTTAAAATTAAAATTGTAGAAATTGTTTATCACACACACACACACACATATATATATATATATATATATATATATATATATATATATATATATATATATAGGGTGTATCAAAATTCTTTTACAAAATTTTAGGGCGGTTTCTCACAACAAAACAAGGAAAAAAAGCAATTAAGACATCCAACATTCACTGCCATAAGGGAGGATTGATATAATAATAATATAAATATTTCTGTGTTTCTTAATAATTCAGCTTCAACAAGACACCTTTCCCTATTTTTCGGATTTTTCTTTTGATTTTTCTTTATTTTGTGTTTTTTTTTTTTTTTTTTTTTTGTCTTGTTTGTCGGAATGGTTCATTGGCTGTAACACTTTTTTCTACCTTGACAGACAAAAAAAAACAATATTTGTCAAAACTTCCTTGATGGAAAATCTCGTGTGTTACAGAATTCAAATTTCTGTGTTTCTTAATTGTCTGCTTAGCTTCAGCAAGACATCTTTCCCTATCTCAATGCATCTACGGATTTCAGATCCCTCTTTTGATTTTCTTTATTTTGTGTTTTTTTTTTTGGTTTTTTTGTCTTGTTTGTCGGAATGGTTCATACTGGCGCTTCGTAACACTTTCCATTCTACCTATGACAGACAAAAAAAAAACAATATTTGTCAAAACTTCCTTGATGGAAAATCTCGTGTGTTACAGAATTCGAAGGTCAGGGCCAGAATGGTCAGCAACTGGCTGAAGTGTCTTTTGGGTGTGATATTCTGACAGTGATGGTTTGCCTTTGTCTAAGTTTTGGATATCATTCCAAAACGACGCGAAATCACCGGAGAGCCGCAAGTAATCTGAAGTGTCGATATGCTTCCCGCACCCAGGTTAACGACCGGCTACAACCACCCGCGGAGAGACGTGAGGCATGCGTTCCTTGACGTCAGTCCTCTCGCTGCCTTATAGAACCAAAACTGTCTCCAGTCCCTCATAATAAAATGAGTAAGAAAAAGAAATGGTCCTTTTCGATGATACCATTTTATGTAGTAGTGTGGGATCCCAGAGACGACACAAAACACAACACAATGCTCCCTCGAGGTTTGTTCGCTAAGAACTACAAAACTAAAAAAAAAAAAAATTAAAGAATTATTGTGAAAATATGATTTCCAAGGATTTATTTTTGCCTCAGGCCGGACTTGTTTTTTTTTTTTTTTTTTTTTTTTTTTTTAGGTGGTGAGGTTCATATGGGAACGAGCGGAAAGAAAATAATTCACTGTCGCTTTTAGCTTTGATGATCATCCTTTAAAAAAAAAAAAAGACTTATCTCTCTTCAGATTTTTCCCAGCGGGAGAAAATGGAAATAAAATTGGAAAATGCAAATGATAAAAGCAAAAGAAACAAGTCATTTAATTTAAATACAAACATATATTCTATTGTAATCGTTTCTTTTCTCGCACTTCTCTCGTGCTGAATTCTCTTCCGATTTTTTGCATTGCTGTCATCTAGAATCTTCAAGAATTTAAATGCAATGCCAATCGCAATTTTCTGCCTTCCTAAAACCTGTTCTTTTATTGTCCTTTCTCCTCACTAAAGTCTTCTTATTCTCTTTCCCCCCTCAGTAACCACTTGCGTCTCAGTGCTATTATCGCCATCTTCTCTCTTCCTGAAACCTGTTTTTTTATTGTCCTTTCTCCTCACTAAAGTCTTCTCATTCTCTTTCCCTTACAGTAACACATTGCGTCTTAGTGGCATTATCGCCATCTTCTGTCTTCCTTAAACCTGTTCTATTATTGTCCCTTCTCCTTACTAAACGCTTCTCTTTCTCTTTCTCTTTCCTTACAGTAACCCCTTACGTCTTAGTGGCTTTATCTCCATCTTCTGTCTTCCTGAATTCTGTTCTTTTATTGTCCTTTCTCCTCACTAAAGTCTTTTCATTCTCTTTCCCTTAGAGTAACTCCTTGCATCTTAATGGCTTTATCGCCATCTTCTGTCTTCCTGAAATCTATTCTTTTATTGTCCTTTCTCCTCACTAAAGTCTTCTCATTCTCTTTCACTCCCAGTAACCCCTTGCGTCTTATTGGCATTATCGCCATCTTCTGTCTTCCTGAAACCTGTTCTTTTATTGTCCTTTCTCCTCACTAAAGTCTTTTCATTCTCTTTCACTCCCAGTAACCCTTTGCGTCTTAGTGGCTTTATCGCCATCTTCTGTCTTCCTGAAATCTGTTCTTTTATTGTCCTTTCTCCTCACTAAAGTCTTCTCATTCTCTTTCACTCCCAGTAACCCTTTGCGTCTTAGTGGCATTATCGCCATCATCTGTCTTCCTAAAACCTGTTCTTTTATTGTCCTTTCTCTTCACTAAAGTCTTCTAATTCTTTTTCCTTTGCAGTAACCCCTTGCGTCTTAGTGACATTATCGCCATCTTCTGTCTTCCTGAAACCTGTTCTTTTATAGTCTTTCCTCCTCACTAAAGTCTTCTCATGCTCTTACACTCCCAGTAACTCCTTACGTCTTAGTGGCTTTATCGCCATTTTCTGTCTTCCTGAATTCTGTTTTTTTTATTGTTCTTTTATTTTCTTTTATCTTCGCTAAAATCTTCTCATTCTCTTTCATTCTCAGTAACCCTTTGTGTCTTAGTGGCATTATCGCCTTACTTATTGTGAAATTGTAAAAAGAAATCCGACCACAGCATGCAACCATAGTGATAACGATTAATTTCTATCACATAATAATACCTTTTCATAGACACTCCTTAAATATTTGAGAAAGTGGAAGCCTTAATTTTGACATCCTTACGACACGAGGTAAATATATCTGCGCGTTCGTTTTTCCGACAAATGGTTAGAAAGTCGAATAATCGCTGTCCGGGCACGAACTTCTGTCACTAAATCACGCACATCATTTCATTCTGTTACAGATTAATTACTAATACGTAATTAGTGATCAGGTGTGAAGCGGGAAACATCAAAGCTCTCCTGTACGGACCTCTGCCACCTATCTACCTATATCGTTC